CGAACCGCTCCAATACCAGTGTAACGAGCGTGAGGCTGAGGGTGAGCCGAGGGAGAGGAGAGAGAGGGAGAGAGTGAGAGCACACACACACACTCACTCACTCGACACGACTGACTCGGACTGAGGATCGGACGCAGACACAGTGGCAAGGCACAAAGTCGAAGTTTTGGATTCCGAATGCCGAAACAGCAAGTCACACTGAGTACGAGTACAGCAGCAGGGAACTGGTACGAGACCGGGCCCCGTACCGTACGGGGAGCCGGTATAAGTACCGGTGACACGTACGATACAAGGGGCATTTCTGCAAAGGCCCCGAGGGCAGAACTGAAAAATGCAGTATTTGAAAGTGGCGCCCGAATTGCAGCATGGCGCCAGTTGTCCAAAATCCTACGGTACCAAAGGAGGGGTTTGGAAAAAGGGTGCCAGGCCGAAAACGGGATGCAGCTGAAACAGCAAAAGGTAGACCAGGGATCGAGCCCTGGCAGAGTCCGTAACATTTACGCTGGGCATGCGTTTGCTGTAGTATTCAAGTGGCCGCAAGCCATCGTCGTCATCTTGTTCCAGCACTGCGTCGATTCCATACTGACTTGCATCCGTAGTAACTACGAATGTCTGTTTGGGATCTGCAATGCGGAGTACCGGGTAACTTACCAAGGCGTCCTTCAAGGCTTGAAAGACATTCGTGCACGTGGTGTCCCAAGAGTAGGGAACATTCTTACTTGTTAGTCGAGACAATGGACGCGCAACAATGGAGAAGCGGGGCACAAACTTCCGATAGTATGACGCGAGACCAAGAAAAGAACGCAGTTCGCAAATGTTCACGGGTTGAGGCCAGTTGCGTACGACCTCCACCTTGGTTGCTTCAGGCTTTAGGCCTGCAGCAGACAACCGGTGCCCAAGATAGATGACACTATCCTTCCCAAACTCAGATTTCTCTAAGTTGAGATGGAGTTGCGTCTTCTTGAGGATGGTCAGTACTTCCTCAAGGTGCTTGAGGTGTTCCTTCATGGGCTTACTTAAGATTAGAATGTCATCGAGGTCGACCACCACGAACCGGCCAATCTGTTCACGGAGGACTTTGTCCATGAGGCTTTGGAAGGTGGTCGGTGCGTTCGTGAGACCGAAGGGCATTACGGTAAACTCGTAAAGCCCATCGCGTGTCTTGAACGCAGTCTTCTGCTGGTTCGCAGGATCGACTTCAATCTGGTGGTAGCCAGACTTGAGATCGATCTTGGAGAAGACCTTGCACCCACCTGCGGCATCAAGCAAGTCATCTATACGAGGCAATGGATAAGCATTCTTTCTTGTGATGCGGTTTAGATCGCGATAGTCAATAGACATGCGGAGTTTGCCTCCTTTCTTTGGAACAAACAACACAGGACCACCAAATTCAGATTCGTTGGGCTTGATCCACCCCTTGTCAATCATCACATCAATCTGTCGTCGGAGTTCCTCCAACTCGTCGGGTCCCATTCGGTATACACAGCCCTTTGGAGGGATAGCACCTTCAACCAACTCGATGGTGTGTCGGACCGATCGCGTGGGGACTTCACGTGGCTCGGCCAGAACTTCCGGAAACCGATCGAGGAGGTTTTGGATGTCTGGTGGGACAGGTGGGGGTGGGGGATCAGCAAAGGGATCACCTAGATCCGGTCACAAGTCGCGTATAAAGACGACCGAATCTGAAGTAGGATCATTTAGACTATTAGAGGGTAGAGAGATAGAGGTGCTAGAAGTAGAAGTACTAGAAGTAGGGTCACTAGTCGAAGGAGTAGTGGTATTAACCGCAAAAGTAGATGGCACATGGGTAGGACAAACAAAGGCAATATACAATTGTTCTTCCTCCTTGTGCTTGGGTCATTTCTTGCAGAACTGCATAGCATTCAGAAAAGTCACTGGGGACTCGTGCTTCTCATCCAAGAGGACAGGAAGCTTGTTCCCTTGAGCATCTTTGATCATGAAAAGTGACTCCTTCCACTTGGTCCATTCGCATTGGGACTGCAGCCGGCCCAAGCCAAGGACAACGTCGAAGGGGCACTTGTCAAGAACATAGAAGTTCAATGCGTGTGCGACAGTTTTGTCCTTGTCAAAGGTAGTGCGCACACCTTTGACCGCATACGTAGAAGAGACAACTTCTTGGTTGCCAACTTGGGTCCGGCAAGGGTTCTGCAAGGCCACTTGCTTCATCCCCTAGCCCACTTTGCGTATCCCGTGAGGTGACATAAAGCTAGTCGTAGCGCCACAGTCAACCAAAACACGGAGATAGCGGTGGTTTATGAGAAGTTTGAAGAATATCAACTTCACTGTCCCCTGGGCACGCTGCTGTTTCATCTCAACCCAATGCTCCAAGTGATAGTGAAAATCGACCGTCCCAGACTCCTCCCACGGCTCGACATACAAAACATTACTCACCTCAGTCTTGTGTTCAGCAGATGTTTGGGCTTCAAAGGAGGACTGCTGATCTGCCTCAGATTTAGTCTCCCCTGCTGTAGAGTTTGCTGAAGTTGACTCTACGCCCGGTTCTGGTTTCCCTGCAGCCTATAACAATCTTGTACCTTATGGTTTGGTTTTTGGCAATGCAGGCATACCCCTTTCTTGAGTCTMCCCCGCCAGTCATTTTCAGTAATCCGGAGGTCGACCCAAGGTTTAGTAGTCGCATCCTCCGGTTTAGGTGGGATCTTGACTCCCTTGGGAAGTTGGACATAGTTTTTCCCTGCACTCCAGGTCCCTTTGCATTGGCAGTCTTTTTAAAGGCAGTAAATTTTTCTTCTTCTTTGTTTGCATCAGACTCATGGGCTGAAGAACAAGCTGTATCAGAGTCTTGTTCTTGGTCGTCACCAAGAGTGGGGTCATCTGCATCGGCATCTTCTTCGGCCTCCAGCAGGTCATGCACAGCTAAACGGTTGCTGCCTTTGAACCGTTTGTCGCCCATGGGCTTTTTGCTGCCTGCTGTGGTGACGAGGTTTACATCCTCAAGACTGACTATGTCCTTCATCAAGGTGAACCAGTCAGTGTAACCAATGAAGTCCCTGCCCACGCGATTAGTAAAGTTGGTGGGAACCGCGCCTTTGACCACATCCAAGCAAGATTGCGCAGTCAGTTCCAATCCGGGTGTAGCAAACATCTTGCTAAGATAGGTCTGCAGGTTTTTCATGGAGCCCGCCCACTTGCTGCGCTTGATCTTGTCAAGCTGAATTATTGCCCTTGATGCAGCATGTGGATCCAGGTATTGTGAAATGAGTAGTTTCTCGAGGGAGGCAACCGGGGTGGCCTTAAGCCATCTTGTTAGTTGAATTTTAGGAATCCCAGCTCGCGTAGGTTGGACCTCTAAGAAGCCCCCCACGGCCGGTTCGACATTCATTCCCATGATCACAGACTGGTTCTCAGGTTGAGTCCCCAGAATCTCGAAATATGCCGTCGTGGAGCTGATCCAGGATTCGATGTCTTCTTTGCTGTCGTACTTAGACGGTATTTGAACCGCCTTACGATCCACATAGGGACCGGCGTTGCTGGGACCAGCTCCTGCTGGTTCCAATCTTGGGGCTGCACCAGTTGCAGAATTTTCGGCCTCGCTGCTTGTCACAGCAACAGCGGAATTTGCACTTGTTGCAGGTCCCGAGGGGGTTGCCAACACATTCAAGGAAGAAGATACAGTAAGAGAGGCAGAGGTAGTTTCAATTGCAGCTTCAGATCCAAGGGGTAGAGGAAGAGGGTTGGCCACTTGGGCTTGTCGCAGCTCAGCTACCTCCCTTGTCAATTCATGGTACTTGCGGGTCATATCAGTCAGATCATCTTGAAGTGTTTGCAACTTTGCGAAGACTTCAACGATCTGACTGGTATGATCCTCAAGATTCCTGACTTGAACAAGGGTTGTGAGTATAGACTGCAATTGTTCCCCACACTGCTCTTCAGTCGGTGAGGGAACAGTCTTTAGGATGGCCACTTGCCTTTTCAGCAAGGTCTCCTTCATCTCCTTCTCTGCCTCCTGTTCCCTTTTGATTGCACTATCTAGGAGTGCTTATAGATATGGTTTTTCGGCATCATTGGCTGCATCTAACATGGCCCGCCATTGCACTGAAGTTAGCTGAGCCATTTTTGGACTGTCAGTATTGACAGGTGGGTCAGAGAGTCGCCAGTCAGCAAAAGAATTAATTAGACTCTCAAGAGGTTCACTCCCCCTCTCACTTGGACGAACACTCCTTTTCCCAGTCCTTGCCCACTTCAGACAATCACTTTCCCTCTCTCCCTTTTCTCTCTCCCTCCTCTCTCTCTCTTCTTTTTGGTTGCGGGTCTCCACGAGCATCGGAAATGAACTCAGAGAAACAGACTGAAAGCTCAGAGAAGAGAAGGTAGAACTCCTAGCCGGAGAGGCATTTCATTTGGAAGTAGAGAGCAGCAAACTAAAGAAAAACAAACAACTTCAAATGAGAGGTCTGATCCGGCGACCCAGTCTGATCAGACTGCATACGAGGTCCTCTCGAGTCCAGTCTGACCAGCTCTGTGACCGTACAGCAAACCAGACAACGAGTGACTAAATGCAACAATGGAGAATTGAGTGGTGTACAGGGTGCGAGTCAAACCACGGACAATTCAATCCAAAAAGACATGTGAAACGTCTCAACCAAGATCCCCTCGGCAGTGGGTGTCCTAACCAAGAAGAATGAACTCCGTATCCCAGCCAAGAAGACAAGAGGTCAATGCCCAACCGATTTGGGTCCAGAGGCTCTTCTTGTTTGGGCCCGGGCCCGCTGGGTCCCAGGGGTCCCACGTAGGTCTCAACCAGGTCCCAACCAAGAGGAGTTCCACATGGACTTAGTTCAGTTTCTACTGCACTGAAAAACGAAATTTCAACTTCTGGCAGAACCTACAGACTACAACCGTTCAAAGATGAAAAGACAAAGCACTGTAGAAAGACTCGGCATTTAGGTCAAGATACTTCATTTTCCATCCATCAAGCGAGTAGTTAGACCACATGCATTCAGTCACACAATCAAGACCACAGAGGAGTAGGAAAAGAAACCCAGAGTACCCCAGCAGGACAGTCAATACCATACACACATACATGGGCATCCCTTAGGTGCACGACACTTACCTGAGTGGCCTTGAGCTTCGAGATGAATAGAACTCACCCCCCCTCTCAYGTGGTCCTCCTGACCCCTCTAACGCTACCCCTGCACTAGTGTCCTATCTCCTAGGAGGGTCTGACTCCAACACCAAAGTGCAACGCCGGATCCCCCGTCAATGCTGAAGAACAAAGTAGCAACTTGCAGTCCGTAGATGCTGAGTGGCCGCTGACCCTCAAGCTCGCCTACTTGAGGGCAGCCCTTAAGCTGCCAAGTGTCTCCCTTGAATCGGATTCCAGGTGCGAGTGCCTCTCACTGTCGCCTCTCTCAAATCGCCACATGAAGTCTCCTCGAAATGTCTCGCCACCCTAATCTCACTCTCAAGCAACCTGGTTAGGTTCTATGTCGACCCCACATGACCTAACCAGGTGGGGCAGCTTCCCTTAGCCACGCTGCCCCACTTCCCTCAACCAACCAACCCTAACCCTAAGTGTTGCCCTCAACCACTTAAGTTAGGGTTAGGGCAGCAAAGTCAACTCTCACCAGCAAGTAGAATCCGCTCTGATACCAATGTTATGACCCTGGCCAATTTCGAGATACACATCCACCGGAAAGTACAATCTCATCCAATTGCAGAAAGAAATGAATGAACTTGAGAGAGGAGAGAGAGGATTAGAAGAAGAAGAAGAAGTAAGAGAGAAGAAGAAGAAGATGAACACCAGCAAAGACAATGACAAGGCTCTTCTTCTTCGCCCAACAATCTCCTCCTCCTTATCTCCCCCTTCTCTTATTCATACAAGGAATAATAATACAATGTTGAATGACTGATCCAGAATCAATGTCCGAGTCCCTCTTCTACTGCAGGTATCACTTAAGGTCCACCATAGCCATGGCCACCTCTCCCACTCTTCCCTCTCATAGGCCGAGGCTATGGCGGACTACTGGGCTCTGCTCAGATGCCCAAAGGACAACCCAAAGCAGCTATGGCTGCTCTAGCTCAGGCCGCCATGCCTGCCCCTGCCCCGAAGCTTCTTGGTGTAGCTCTCCCCAGCTGGGGACTCCCTGCTGCAGCGCCCACCAAGGTGATGAAGATGGCTGCCACCATAGCCAGGTAAGTACCCCTGGTGCTCCTCCCCCTTCCTTCCTTCTTCCTCCTTCTTCCTCCCTCGTGTCCTTCTCCTTCCTCCCCAGCAGCGCTGCTCCAGCCATCGCTCTACCAGTGTGTCGCCAAACTTGCACACCGAAAAAGAGGCCGGACTCTCCGCCCGGCCAGAAGATATAGCGGCCTGCTTTGCCTCTTGGGCGGTGACTTCCAGGCCGCTCGGCCTCCCAAGCAACCGGTACCTCCTCCCTTTCGGAGGAAAACATCATTGCAGACTCTGATATTGCCCGTACAGGCCCTAGACCCAGACTGGTTGGACTGATATCTGCCTAGACCTAACCTACAACTACTGGGCCTCTAAAAATGCCACTTTTGTCTTCTTCTGCTCGGCCTCCAGTACCTGCACATCTACCCCTTCCAGGTGCAGTACCGGCCTACCCGCTACTTGAGTGTTTTTCCCCGCTGCAACCCCTCAATGTCACGGCCACAGGTAAGTACCGGCCCTGAGGGCCCAACGAACGAGCAAGTGCCCTGACGGGCCACACACATACTCATGCCAACCAGCACTCAGACAGGCACGGTCACACACACACCCAAGCCAACCAACACTCAGACAGGCATGGTCACACACACACTCAAGCCATCCAGCACTCAGACAGACATGCAGTCCAGCAAGCGTGCACACACAGACTTAGTAGCAAGCGGGAAACTCAGCAGGGCATTCAGTCTATGGGCAAAACTCAGAAATCAGTTGTGTGTTTCAGTCCATGTATGGACGGGTTATCACAGAATTATCTTTATACAACAAGGTGCGGCTCTGTCTTGTTTTCTTAGCAATGTTTTCTGATGACAGCAAAGGACGATTGAAGAGATGGAGATGGCACAGCAATTGAGGTCACAAAGGTGGGCAATGGTGTCAGGAGGGAGGTGGGAAAAGAGGGAGGAGGATGAGGATAAGACAGGAGGAAACAGCGGGTGAAGTGGAGGAGAAGTAACTAATCTTGATGATACCAACCTGGGTTTCAGGGAACAGAGGCATGCCTTGCCCTCGTCTTCCTGCTTCTTCTTCTTCCAATGTCGTCTTCTTCTCATTCTTGGTCAATAAGGTCCTTGCCCTGCATGTTGTGCACAGCAGCGGTGTCCTTCTCTTCCTCACTGAATCATTTTCCTGTCTTGCTCTTCCCCGTCCTCGTCTTCCCGTTTTTGTTCTCCTCCTTTTGCTACTTACATCTTCGCCGCCTCCTTCCCGTTCTCTCTCACATCCTCCTCCTCCTCGACCAGGCCCCTTTCATTGTCATGCTGTGGCATCAACCTCCTCATCCGTCTACTGCTCCTCCTTGCTTCGATATAGCTTCAAAATTTCCACCACGCAGTAAGGAGAAAACAATGAGGAGAAGTGAGGGAGAGAAGTGGGGACGGCGACATGGAGAAGAGGTGGTGCGAGGAAGATGAGGGGGAGGGAGGAGGAGGTGGTGGAGGAGAAGAAATATCAAACATTGTGGTGTTGTACGTCAAAGTTATCATCTGCAAAAGAGAATAACCTTTGAAAGGCCTTGATGCACATCGAAGAAGATTCAGGCAGAGAGGGAGGATGAGGAAGAGGAGGAAGAGGAGGAAGAGGAGGAAGAGGAGGAGAAAGAAGAAGAGAAAGAAGAGGAAGAAGAGGAAGAAGAGGAAGAAGAGGAAGAAGAGGAAGAAGAGGAAGAAGAGGAAGAAGAGGAAGAGGGGGAATAGGAGGAAGAGGAGGAAGAGGAAGAGGAGGAGATCACCTGCAATGGTGATATCATCAACCTAGACTACCTGGCGAGGCACCAAGGCTGCCTCTGGCTGCCTGCATGGCCCAGTCAGGCCAGGTCCGGGCAGGTCCTGGGCAGCCCCGACACGAAGTCAAAAAAGACAATCAGAAAATCTGGAAAGCCAATTTACGTTCTGTAGAATTGCGCACAAAGGAGTTTTGCCTGAGGGTCACTTCGACATTGTTTATTAAATTCGAATTTCAATCTATATCCATATACGGCACATCCCTCTGAACCCCTTTGAAACCCTTTTACCCCATCTAAGGCCAGATTCTGACTGCTCAGGGCCAGGCACAGATCTGGCCTGAGGTCAGACTCTTTTTTTCCCCTCCTTTTTTAGTCTGTCGGACTCTGTCCACATCACCCGTGCAGGTGGTGTCCAGCCTGCCCGGGCGACACAGGTAACACGCGATTGACTAGTCATTATGAACACAGGTCATGTGTGCACTGTGTCTATTGTCCCTATCGGCAGCGGCGCAAGGCATTAGCACCCTGCCAACAACCTTCACTTTGTTTCCCTTTTGCCTCCAGTCTGGCCCTCAGTCTATTCAACCATGGATGCAAACAATGAGCTTGAGCATAGTTGATCCTCCTCCCATCCTCTGCCCCCAGCACCCCTGTGTTTGCCCTACTTCCTACACTTCTATACTACTTTTTTTACTTTTTTTTTTTTTTTCGGGGGGCGGGGCGGGCGGGTTGAAGCCAAACTGCTGCTGAATTGCCAGGAAAATATGGCTCTGAGATTGCCCTGTGGGAGACAGGGATAGCTCCTCCATCCATAACTTTTGTGCCTCATTTGATCCATCCTCAGTACTACTGGACTGACTGGTAACACCCTAGGTGCAACCCTCATCACAACTTCACAGGTCCACTGTAACTGCCCAACAGGTCAACTGAGCCTGTAGGATATAAGCGGCCTACGCGAGAATAGACACTGTCAACAGGAAGCCAAATATGTGGTGGTCCTTGGTACCCTGCTTGCGGTGAACATAGCTAACATTATCGCCTGTCCCGAAGGACCAAAAAAAAAAAAAAAAAAAAAAAAAAAAGTAAAAAAAATAAAATCAAGAAGCCCTAACATCAGACAGGCGCACAAATTGAGCACTGCCTTTACGTTCACCAAATACGCTGCAACAGATTAACCTTTGATTTGTTGACTCGCAGTATGCACTGCTGTACATGCCAGAGTGCCAGGGCCATGCTGCTCACTTAGTCGCTGTCTCTCTCCGAACTGTATTTGACGCAAATGGACAAACCAGTGAGGACATCTATATGATACTATGACGGCGAAACAGCAGGATCATTACAATTAGTGAATTAGCGAATTAGCGAATTAGCGAATTAGCGAATTTGGTGACAACTAGCAGGCTGTCAGTACTGCGGCATCAATACCAAGATGATTGTGTAGTCATTCTCGCGCTCCACACTAAATTTTGACGGAACAAATCTGGCGTGGCGGTTGTAATAACGATGGATGCTGGCGAAACAGCACATCACAACATGCCCTGCGTTCAGATCCCTCCAGTAATCCACCGAATGCTGCTACCAGCAACCAGGACAACAGAGGGATGATGAGCATGCAGTAATGCTCTCTTCAACATGAATTACCACAAATGAAAATTCACTGTGGGCGATGACGACCATGATGACGGTAAACAGCAGTATCACTGATCCATCATCGATCCTAACCTTGCAATCGAAGGTTGGGAGAAAATAACAAAGTCATAAAAATATTTGTGTTAATAATCAAATTATCCTTCGGCCTAGCTTTCAAGTTTCCAGTGGTGATCTTATTTCTATTCAACAAAATTGCAAGTCAACCATCAAACAAAATATAAGATATAACCGAATTTTAAAAAACAAACCATCTCATTTAGAAGTTAATYATCAAACATTGATGGYTGTTTTGTTATATGAACCTCAACAAATTCAATTTCCATACCATATAGATTTAGATGTTTTGAATTAAAGGCAACCAACCGTCAGGTCAGGCGGCCAATAAGACACTAACCCCACCCCCGCGTCCGGGGGGACGCGTGGATGAGCGCATACGTAAATAAAATAAGCTGCTTGTTTTGTTGTGGCGGCTGCGTTGACTCTTTTGGGTGAGTTGCATTCTTAGCTCAGCTGGATAGAGCAACAACCTTCTAAGTTGAAGGTCACAGGTTCAAATCCTGTAGGATGCTGAATTCTTCGGGAGAGTGGCCGAGTGGTTAAAAGCGACAGACTGTAAATCTGTTGAAGGTTATATTTCTACGTAGGTTAGAATCCTGCCTCTCCCACTTCGTGGACTTCATACATTCATGAATTACATGTAATGTATCTCTGTATTCCGATTGGAATGAAGAAAGTCGCGTCGTGGTAGCGCCTTGTGCGTGGAAAAGCAACGATGAAACCCTCCTGAAGCGACCGACCTCGCTGAGCCTTTTTGGTAGGGGAGACGATGCTGAACCTGGTGAGGATAACGAAGCCGACACGAAAGCTTTCCGGTATAGCCACCAGGCAGGTGGAGACATGCCTAATGCTTTCTACACAAAGAACATTCTATACTGTAATCGGTTTTCTCGGAGATTTATGAATTCATTTCGCCCCCTCGTGAACCGATTTCACCCCCTCGTGAATTCATTTGGCCCCTCGAAGGCTACCATAGCCTCGGTCCTGTCATTCACTCGATCCCTTGCAGTCCCTTTAGACCCCTATAGTACTTTCTCCGCCCTGAGGGCTCACACTTTCATAATGCAGACCCATGGCATTGCCTATTATGCACATCATGGAAATGCTTGAGCCTAGGTAGCCATTCCTTCCTCCAAAGGAGATCCAGTCATGCCCTCTGAATTGCTTAAGCCACCAGTACATCCGAGCCCCTTTTTCTCGTGGTGGATTCCCCCTGCGCGCCAAGCTTTGCTGAAACGCCAGCGCGGCACTTTTTCTTTTCTTTTGGCTGGCACCACTACCATCTTCACTCGAATAGAACGCCCGGTCATTAGAGCTGCATTTGGCCTAACTTTCAGTCCAGATGCAGCGATAATGACCGGGCGTTCTATTCGGGTGAAGACGGTCGCCATTGTGGTTCGGTAACCCAGAGCCTCTGAAATTTTCGGATTGACTCAATTTCAATTGTCGAGTCTGCCTGATCGATGTACTGGCGGTTTAAGGCACAGGTGGTGGTATGTGACACATCAAGTTTCTTGTCGGTTTGCCTCATACCCATCAACCCTGACTACGAGGTAACGTGGTCATCCAACACGGAATTAAGGTTGACTATCTGCTAAATGGGTGTAGATTGATGGACAATGGATGAGAGGATGGATGGTGGGTAGGATAGAGGGGGGGATGGTTGGAAAGATGTGTTGGAGGGGTGGATGGATAACGCATAAGTTTGACGAATGCCTCATGAAATCTATTTGTTTGTTCATGAAAAGCGAGGGCGTTGAAGCATATTAGAATGTGTGTTTTTGTCTGGTTTTCGCATTCGCATTCTCACTTCCTGTCTTCTCCTTCCAACTCTTTCAGGCAAATCAACGTGGGATGGACCAGTCAGCACCCCAGGGGCGCACACAGCAAGTCCCACAGATTGTGCGTCAGAACTCCCTTCCCATAACTCGTAATGTGCTGCCATCTCAACCTTGCACGTCACGAAAGTTGGACACTGTTAGTCAGCAGAAAGCGCATGTGACTGGGAGACCTTCACCCATCAGTATCCCCAGTGCAGGACCTCAACAATGTGCAGCAGGCGGGAAGGAGAAAGAGGCGGTGGTAAATGGGAGGGATGGGAGGCAGGAACAGGGAGGACGTCATGGAATGGCAGCAAGTTCGTTTTCGCCAACTTCGCCATCGCCAACGTCTCTGAGATCGACTGCAACAACATCCTGGGCGCGGCGAAGATCGACAGGCTGTACATCAAGGCCACTCGCTAGGACCAACAGCACGGATTCTGTTCAAGGAAGAAACAAGAAGGTACAGGCTGAGGCGCAGAAAAAAGCGAGTAAGAGCGACAGCCGGAGAGGAGCAGACAATTCCATGAGAGAGAGTCTAGATACGTTCCGCCTCTCCGCTTCATCTGCAACATCGTCAAACAGTGCGGATACGACCTTGGATGTCATGTCGGGGCAATCGTTGCAAAACCGGAGCACTGGAAGTAGCTGTGGTGCACAGGAGGGAGAAGTCAAGGTACTCGCTGGAGCAACTCAAGAGGAGGAGGAGCTCAGCGTAACGGCTCATAATACCTTCGAACATGTAGAGGACTGCGACGTGGTGATGCTAGTAGAAACATTGTCGCTGGGGTCTAAGGACGACAATGACCAGAATGTAAGCTCCTCGGATGGATCCGGTACCTGGAGGAGTTCTGCCAGGAGTGGCAACGTAATGGAGGACAAGAACAAATGTGGAGGGGAGGGGAGAAGGGAGGAGGATGAGCACGAGGATGCAGATTATGTGGCAACAGAAAACAATGGCTCTGTCATTTCTGACTGGCACGCGGGGAATCAAGATGATGGAGATAGAGGCAGGCTGAGGCAGAAAGCTCCTAGGAAAGTGGAGCCTGTTAGATCAAGAGCTCCGGGAGAGACTGGCAAGCGAAGGCGATGGGTTTAGCGACTGACTCTGTCTATATGTCTTAGTGACATGAGGATATCTTCTGGAAGGATGGCAGCCTGATGTAATGGATGGACAACATTGGAGGGCAGTCTTATTGGTGCGGTGGCTTTTTAACCCAAATATGTGGAGAAAACTGGTAAGAGGAGGTTTTAGGGTTTACCTGCCGACTGTGCCCAATGGCACCCACCTTGCATCACACATGCATTCATTTGCATCTGCGGTGAAAAGGGAAGAAAACTACAATTATTGGATAATAAGGTCGGACGGGACAGACCGGAACAGGTTAGGGGAGGAGAATGTGATCAAGAAGAGAGGAAGGGGAACAGGTTAGGGGAGGAGGATGTGATCAAGAAGAGAGGAAGGGGAGATGCATCCCTCTTCACTTCTGTTACTTGTGTGTGTGGTCATGCGGCAATTTAAGGTAGGGGGAAACAGGAGGGGGGAAGAGCGAGAAAGAGAGGGAGGGAGACCTCTAGGGGGAATTGCAACTAGAATAGGTATGAGAAACCGACGAGCCTAACTCAGTTAGTACACGCACGATGTGTTGAAATACAGACCCAAGTTCGAATCCGGATGGGAAAGAAAAAATAAAAAATAAAAATAAAAAAATAAATAAAGAAGAAGAAGAAGAAGAAGAAGAAGAATGGGTATGAGAATTTGGGGGCAGGAAATCGCATAGTGTAGGAGAGGAGGTTTTTTAAATCTTTAAAAATAATTTTCAAATACGTTTCCTCGAATTTAACTTCATTCTAGCTCATAGCGATCACTCACTATGCAGAAGCTGGTCACAAAATCAAATTCATTATTTAATAAAACACACTGATAGGGGACTGCTGATTAGACAACCGCCTCCCTCGCCAGTCTAGCACCGCCTAATCAGTTCCGCTGTCTTTAGAGCTGGGTACTTGACGCAACAGAGTGTGATTACGAGCAAACGGCGTTGGCGGTTGTTTTTTGGGGGGCTCCCAGGAGTGATTTAGCATGGGATAATCTTACCTGCCTTCTCCTTTGCCTCCGTCAGGGGAGGGGCGTTGCAGGCCATGCTTCCCTGATACTACTGAAATCAGTAGTTAAGTGCTAGCCGCAAATTAGCAGTAATAAGTGGTGATTCTCTCAAGAATTTTCATCAGGTCCTCTTTCGCTCGTCTTCCCTCTCTCTGATTGACCATGCATCTGTCCATCGATCCTCCGTCCATCCACCCAAAACCATACACACCCGTACACCCACCCACTCCATCCACTCATTATTCCATTCATTCATCCAAATCCGTCCATCCATCCATCCGTGAGATCCAGCGAGCCAGCCCCCATTCCTGCCAAAGTGTCAGAGTGGTGTCATCTGCGAGACTGCAACGATAAAGCTGCAGCTGCAGGGATGACTCCATGTACTGCATGGTGACTTGGACGGCAAAGTGAAGACGATAATGCCCCACAATTCCAGATCGGTGGTGAACTGTAAGCTGCACAATAACACAGATTCGAGGAGAGAGCGAGCGAGCTACATAATGCCCCACAATTCCAGATCGGTGGTGAACTGTAAGCTGCACAATAACACAGATTCGAGGAGCGAGCGAGCGAGCTACTGCGACGTAGCTCTTGGCAGCAAGCTGTACTATGTGAGGCTGAGCTACTGAAGCTATCTGTTACAAGCTTCTCTCTGACCTAGAGGGAATTCATACCGTCACAGCACAGCCAACGCAAGGGCATGGGGGAGATGGGAGGACTACGGTAGCTGGATAAGCGCGGCATCCATCCTGCTGGTGGGTTGTCATGTATAAGCTTTTGTACCTTTTGCATACACCTTCACCTGTTTGTGTCCTCGGTAACAGTGTGTGCTTGTATTTGTGTGTATGTGTGTTGTGCTCACGTGCGCATGCACATGTGTGAGCATGCATGTGTGTGTGAGTGTGTGTGTGAGTGTGTGCGTGTGTGTGTGTGCCTGTCCGTATGTGTGCGCATTCCCGATGTCTGTCTGTGCATATTTCCACATTCAATCCTTGACTTCTGCAGTGGTATGGATTCTAGGGAATAGACGGAAAGGTGGTTGCCGTCAACTCTTAACTATTCAAAGTACCATCAGTTATCGGCGGGCTGTAAGGAGTTCTCTGCTATTATAGAGGGGCAGAAGTCAAATGTGTACATGGTTGACCCTGCAATGTCATCATAGTGCCGTGATGAAGTAACTAACGTCATGACGAGGGTGAATGGGAGACATGTGCGCACGAATGAGCGGAGAGTCGGGGACAGAATTGCGGACAGTGATAGACAGCCAAGTGATCCACTCACTGCCACTCTGAGATCTAGGTATCGTAGGCAATAATAAATGTCGGTTGCTTCGTTCCCGTGGCGCAAGGGGGTTGGCCTGCGGGAATGCTTCTCCTCAGGGACTCATTTTAGCTTTAGAAATGGGTGCCAGCAGTTTGGCTAGGAATCCCAGTTTTCAAATTGTTTGATTGAAAATTGTCTGGGCTGGGCTTACCAATCCTGAGAGTCTTATCCAGTAGTTTGTGAACAGACTGCTTACGAAAGACGCGTTAGGAGGCTTGGCATCATGTTTGTGCATTCACGTGCGGAAAACCATGTTTCTTAGGAGATTAGAGGTGTGCAGGGACGAGGGTGGGAGGCGATTTCTCTTGCTCTGGATCTTGTCGAGTCTAAACAGTCAACCTATCACTTGTAGCAGTGGCGGCGCCCACCATTTCTCTCGTGCAATCGAAGATGGAGAACTGAGGCTTGGCATCATGTTTGTGCATTCATGTGCGGAAACCCATGTTTCTTAGGAGAGTAGAGGTATGCAGGGACGACAGTGGGAGGCGATTTCTCTCGCTCTGGATCTTGTTGAGTCTAAACAGTCGACCTATCATTTGTAGCAGTGGCGGCACCCGCCGTTTCTCGCGTGCAATCGAAGACGGAGAACTGAGAGGGTATTCTGAAGATTTGAATTACCCTCAAGATTTGAAGACCTGGAGGGGTGCAGTGACCTTGAGGAGGAGGAAATTAGGGAAGGTAAGGGAGTGGTCATCATGGTTAAGCTCTACTCAGTTGCGGCCTCTCGATCTCATCAAGCGATTCGTCTGTCCCTCACCTCTCCAGAGTCTCTGCGGCATGCAGAAATGTTTCCGTTATTTTTTTATTTACTTTTGAACTCCATTCAAAATTTTGTTCCATTAACCGGATAGGTTCAGAGACTTTCTCAAAGTTAAGAGGGATAATTATGTTTCTTCTTTCGGAAGTTCTTCAGGTTTGGGTCTTTCATTTCCGTCTTTAAAAAAAAAAAAAAAAAAAAAAAAAAAAAAAGTAGCCTGCTTTATTATATTTGGAGCAAAAGGAGGCCGGGACTCGTCTCTTTTTTTGTTTCTTCGTGAGGAGTTTCTTTTTTTTTTTTTTTAATGAACACCCTCCCGTGCTAGTAGTGCTTTTTTGTTTTCTTTTTTTTTTTTAGCAGAACCTCTTGGTTCTGGCCCCAGCCATTCTGGGAAGCGACAGTCCGGTTCCTATTCCCCCGGCAAGTCGGTGAATAATACAAGGTTGACTCACCCCACTCTCCTCCCCATTATGGTTGAGAGGCCCGAGTGGACGGCATTGATTACGTCCAGTAGGAAGGATGTACCACCCCTCACCCCTGCCTAAGTTAGCCTGTCATAACTAGTCTTTTGTGTGGCTTTGTATGCCTAATCCATCTCTGGCTGCTCCTCTCAGCTGTATGGCTGTCAGTTATTACTTCTATCTCTAGAGCAAGCTGCGACTATTGACCTCTGTTGGCTTCACTAAAACCTTCTTTTCAATCTAAACCCTAAACCCTCCCAAAGGCTCCTCAGTGTGCGTTACAGAACTCCATACTTATTCTGCACCGTACCATTGCATATCCACCAACGACAGTTGATGGGGGGGGAATGGGTCCGGGAACTCTGCGGGTGAGTGCATCGGCACTCCTTGGTCCACTTTAGTCCATTCCTTGAAGCAGATGCAGTAGTCTCTCCTGAAGTCTACCTGCTCCTGCCCGGGAGACTGTCCATCCCATCGGATATAGGCCCTTTTTCGTTACCCAGCCAGTCCCCTGAGAATTGATTGATTGCTTGTGTGATGTCTTTCTTTGAGTGATATGTCTGTAATTGGTTCTTGACCTTCTGCCATCGTGAGAGGAGTTCTTGCTGTATATATTGTTTTATTATTTCCGTTACTTATTCCCCTTCCATGCGAACTCCCTCAATGGAATATGTGCAGCGCTTCCTCCAAAGTGCCCAAATAACCGATCTCCTCCCAATCTTGAACATGTTGTTTTCAAAATCGCAGTCCGTGGGGGAGGTCCATGCTTCACAGAGGAGCGCCCTCCAGTCCCATGGCCAAGTCGATCCGGTGCCCAGGAGGCTCCATATCCTATCCCACCAACGCCAAGTGAGGACCGCCCCTGGACACTGTAGGAAGATGTGTTCTATAGTTTTCGGGATCTTACGGGCGGGAAAGGCGTTATGGCAAGATTTGCACCAGGGGAGCGCCAGACCCTTCTGCTCCAAAAACGTGCGGTCTATCAGCCAAGTATTAGTCAGGAGGCAGCGATGCTCTATCTGCCACTGCAGCGAGGCGAATTTGGCCGGTTTGGATTTCATGGTTGAAATTTGAAAACCACCGGATAGGGCGGACTGTCCCCTGGCTTACGTTCAGGTGGGCTATCCAACCGGCTTTTACCATCTCCTTGAGGTTCACCTTTGGCCGCACCAGGCGGTAAGTGGCCTTCACCGACAAGCTAAAGAGTTTTATGTTCGGATTGGCTGGTCTTCTTCGTGCGGGTACCCAGTGCCACTGCTCCGAGTCGAAGGGGAGTTAAGCAAGGGGTGTTCCTGGGCGGAATGCGATCCATTCGTCTTTGTGTCTCAGTACGCAGGTTCTGTGCAACTCCTCATTCTTCCACCACCTCATTGTGTTCGGGTTGTACCTGGTGAGAATATTGTCCTTTCCCTTATGGAAGAGGTTGACCAAGGATTTGCCTGCCCGCACTTCCACCACATTGCCAACGCTTTC